AGTTGGAAGGATTTCTCCCATTTTACACACTAATTCCAGCAATTCTAGACAAACGGTGAAACGTGGCACAAGACACTTCAAGACTTAACTGATTAGTCTCAAGTGGGGGAAACAACAGAGAGACACAGAAAAGCAGCAGGAACCCTCCCCTCCTGCTGCCCCCGCCCCAGTCCCCAGGGCACGGCCTTGCCACAGGCTGGGTGCCAAGACAGCGGCCGGCCGGAGCCAGCAGGTGCTTGCTGCCTTTACCGAAAATCCGCTTGAATCCCAAACTGAGATTATTGACAATTAAAAAGCGAGACAGAATAAAAGGGGGGAAATCCAGAGAATGAATTGGCTATGGGTTACACTGTGTCCCCGCCAGAAAGATATGTTGACGTCTTAATCCCTGGGACCTGTGAAGGTGACCTTAATTGGGAAGTGGGTCTTTGCAGGTGTTTAACCAAGTCAAGACGAGGCCGGGCTGGGTTCGGGTGGGCCCTAAACCAAAGACTGGTGTCCTTGCAAGAGGAGAGGAATTTGGCCCCGGAGACGCACATAGGGTGGGGACCGTCATTTGAAAATGGAGGCAGAGATTGGAGTGATGCAGCCACTAGCCAAGGGACCCCAAGGAACGCTGGCAGCACAGCAGCCGGGAGGCACTGTCCCCTGGAGCCTGCAGAGGGAGACGGCTCCTGCTGACTCCATGACCTTCTGGCCTGCAGGACTGTGAGAGAATAAATTTCTATTTGTTTTAAGCCCCCGTTTGTAGCAATTTGTTACAGTGGCCCAAGGAAAGCAATAGAGCTTAGAAGATGAGCAACCATTGAGGAAAGAGAAGCTGGGAGAGCTCAATTCCTTGCCCACGGCCACGGGTGACACACTGCAGTGGGCAGGACCCGGGATCAGCGCAGGCTGCCTTCCAGGTACCAATCATGCCCGGGAGCACCAAGATGGTTCTTTTGAAACAAAGTTACTGTAACTGAAACAGTGGCGTGTCTGGAGCAGTGAGGCAGGCAGACTTCGGAACTAGGCAGACCTGGACTGACATCCCCTCTCAGCCCTCACCAGTGTGGCCTCGCACAAATTACTCCAGCTCTCCGAGCCTCAGTTCTCCCACCTGAAAATTAAGTCAAGTCACTGCGTGCACCTCACAGGACGCGGTGAGGATAGAAAGAGGAGAGCCCTGCAAAAGGCTCAGCTCCCAACAAGCAAGAAATAAAGGCTGGCTATTAATCGGTGGTTAACTATTCCGCCGTCTCTGTCTCTCCTGTTGTCTAGAGCCGGTTCCTTGCTGCCTGCCCCCGTCCTCTGTAATCGCGCCTTTGACAGATTCCTTCTCCAAGGGCCAGGGGCTTTTCGCTTCTCACTCAGAGAAGCTGGCTGCAGGCAAACCATCTTTGACTTTCCTGTTCTTTCAATCTCAGTAATCGTTTCTTTTTCCATTGTTCTTAATAGTTTACCATCATAGGTGGCTCCAGTGTAAATTCCTTCTTGCTGGCCATGGCCTTCCCTTTTCCAGCCTCACCTGCAGTTGGCTTAATATCACTTTGGGACACCAGCCGGCTTATTCTGAAGAAGGCACACTCTCAAAGTGCACATGCTCGGCATACTTTCAATCCAAAGTCTTCCAAATAATTGTGCACTGAGAGGCTGGTGATCAATGCATCACAATTAAATGCATCATGATTAAAATGTGAACCACCAAAATAATCTGTCAGCTCTCTACAGTCAAATGTTTAGATATGAACAGGGTTTCCCTGTCTGTGTTATCCACATTAGTGGAGATGACAGGAAATCTTTCATCAGAAACCCCAAAAGCCCTTTTGAAGCCACAGCCAGGTACATAGCTGAAGAGCTTTTCCTATCTTCAGTTGGATTTATTGTGTTAGCATGAAAGTCTTTTTTAATAATGGAAATTGCTGTAATTATAATCACTTTAGAAGACCGTTATTATTATTAACAAGACCAAATTGCATGGTTCAAGCAGATGCTGGTTCTCTACTGTTGGAAAGAAGTCACATAATGGGATCAGCGCACAAGCCCAGGGCTCATCTCCATGCCAACGCGGCCCTGCCCACCAGCGCAGGGTCCTGCGGCTCTGCTCGGGCGCCGTGCAGAGTTGTCGGGCAGAACAATGGCCCCCCAGCTCCCGATGAAAGCACACGGGGAACAAGTGCACATCCAACAGTTGGGTTTCCCGTAGGAGACAGGGACCTGCGGGGTTCTTGTTCCTGGCGAATGTCCTTTCTCAAGTCCCCTCCCGTGCACACCTGGATCCAAGGATTTGTTCTGCTGTTCATTAAGGCAGCAGCAAAGGCAGGAGGAGATGGGAGGCAGCTTAGGAGGGCCTAGTTGTACTTACATTAAGTTCCTAACACTTTGGGGTACAATTAGGTTCAGGGATCCTGGGCTGGAAAGTGGAGTTTGAGGCCAAAACCAAAGAGATCAGAAGGTTTGAGGGTAAGAGAGTCATTATTTCCCTGGTGGCTCAGAACGTGGGTTCTGGAATCCAGCTCCCTGGGTCCCAGCTCCCTGGGTCCCATTTCTGGCTCTCCCACTTTCTTGCCCTTTGCCCTGGCAAGTCATTCAACTCCTCCACACTTCTGTTTCCCCTCCCTTGCCCCAATGCAAACTAGGAGGGGTAGGAGGACACTGTGGGGACTCCAGGGGAAAGCACACAGCACAGTGCTTGCCACACCCAGAGGTCTCAGAAACGTCTATGACCATTACTTAAGTCTTGAAAAATTCTTGGTTATTTATTGCTTGAATTTACAATTCCATTTTTCTCTCCACCTAAGCAATTTTTATTTTAGGCTTCAGAGAATCAGCAGAGAATAAATGCATGACTCCTGGCCATTAATAGAGCAGGAAAACTCACTCCAAGGTTCAGAAGTCACCTCACTGCTGCCGGCACCCTGCTGGTGGTCAGAGACATTTCAGGGCGAGACAGGCAAGAAGCTAACCCTGATGCGCTAGGCACTGGAGCCCGAGTCTGCAGTAGGCATTTGGAAAGATGGTACACATGGATTTTGCTACAAAGCAGCTTATCGCTAAGTCAAGCCAGGAAGGAGGTACAGAATATTTCATTATTCTCCATCAAATGTAAAAGTTAAATCTGCTTTTGTAAAAGGAGCCCTCCCTGGAAACATGCTAATGTTTGAGAGATCATCTTCGGCAAACCACTTCCTTGGTTATGGTGTAGGTGTGAGCACAGGCACTCAATGCTTACCTGTTAATTAGATTAATTAAGCGTCATTTTCAAGTAAAGGTCATTGAATTAATTAACAAAGGCAAGCTATTCTTTATGAAAGCTTTTTTTTTTTTTTCTTTTGAGAGCCCAAGCGTATTTTCTTAGCTCTTCCTGAAGATCTTCCCTTTCCACTTGCCTCTGGAGGGGGCGCCTCGGGGCTTCACAGCCCTCCAACTGCCAAAGTCTACTTTCAGTGGAGAGCATTCCCTTCCACTCTAAAACCAGCACGAGCTTTTTTCAATTAAGGCTCACATCTCCGGTGGGGAGCCGCTGGAGGCCCGTTCCAAAAGATTATCGGTAGGCCGCAAAAGCGGTTCTTCCTCAATCGCCCGCGACATTTGCAGGGTTCTCACCACCAGGCAGGCACATGTTCTCACGTGGCAGCCTGACCGAGACCAGCATCCTGAGGTCCAGTTAAGCTGGCTCAGCTGACTCGATTCCCTCCCTCCCACTCCCCACCCTGGGAAGCGGCAAAGACCACTCACGTGGCTTCCCACCACTTAGATGAAAGGCAACTAGAATCAAAGTTTAGCGCAGAATACGCTTTTGAAGGTTTTTTTCTTTTCTTTTTTTTTTTTTTTTTACTAATTAAACAACTACAGAAGTTATTCAGCAGTTTCCTTTTTTAAAAGAATTAGCATGGCATGTCTTTCCTCTTAAAGTCTTGAATAATTTAATTAGAATTATACAAAAGTCATGAGTATGTTCTATTTATGGGGGAATCATAGCTGAATTAAAACCCAAATGACAACGTTAAAAATAAAAATAAAGTATCTTCATACAGTGGATCCAGTTGATGACAAAACTTGACTTCAAATCCCACTTAGATTGGGTAGTTTCAAAGGAGGAAGGGGGCCCGAATCTACTCCTGTTTCTGCTTTTTGTTTTTTAAAGATTAGCATGCCTGGGAACATCTGTTTCTCACTACAAAAAGTGTTAATAAATGAACATCAGAGAAAGAGAGAAAGAAAGCTGTTTGGATTTATTTTTGTCAGTCGGGAGACACTCTGTCCCCGGACACCTAGCTCACCCCTATTTTTTCCCCGTGGCTGGACTGCATTTCCCACTTTCTCACACACGCGCGTGGATGCAGCGCTCGGTGCGGAGGGCAGGGCGGCTGGACCAGCGAGGAGGGGCTGGCTCGCCAGCTCGGACAAGGCATGCGGGCGCAGAGGAAGCCCTGCTCGCCCCAGGGCAGCGAGCTGGCCACTTCAGACCGGGTTGCTTTTAGCTGAGCTCCAGCATAAATCTCCCTTAAAGGCTACTGCGCCTTTGGAAGCTGGCCACAAGCCTCTTTAGCAATGAGACAGCACTGGGGCAGAAGCGGGGATATTCATACAAGGTGATTTCCCCCCAGTAACAGCTTCTCGCCCGATGCCCACGGCACCGTCTGCGGCTGGAAGGTGGTGTCGCTCACAAAAAGGAAGTCACGTTGGAAGCAAGTTACAGGTCTCCTCTGGCTGCCCGGCCGGCCGCGCGGAAGGGGAAGCGGACAAGTTCTGAAACACTCGCGCACACCCCCAGCTGCGCCCCGGGCGGGGGCTGCCAGCCGCCGCGTCCCGCGCGCCAGCGCCCCGCTCCCCGGCCCACCCGGGTCCCTGCGTTCCCCGATCTTCTCTCCGGGGACAGCTGCTGCTTTGGGGCGACACTAAGCCACACGGAGGCAACTCTGGGCTTTCCCCCCACGGGTCCCCCGAAAAGCCCACGCTGCAGCCAGGAGGACGCAGGGCGGCGGGTCCCGGAAGGTGGGGGGCGCCCACCCACCTACCTTCTGCGGAGGGGTCCCGATCAGCATCTCCAGGTAGTAGCCGCGGCCGGAGTCCCCCTGCAGGTTGTCCACCATGGCCAAGAAGTTGGCGGCGCCCCCGGCGGGCTCCAGGGCGAGCGCCAGGCCGTCCGCGCGGGGTGCGGCGGGGGTCCCGGGCCCGGGGGCGAGCGAAGCCCCGCGGCTCGCGGCTCCAGCCACGCGGAGGGGCAGCGTGAAGGGCGCGGGCGCGGGCGCCGGGGCGGCGCGCAGGAGCCACTGGGCCAGCAGCGGCAGCAGCAGCGCCCGGGCCAGCGCGCCCATGCCCACGGCGGCCCCAGGGCGCGCGCGCCCGTCCCGTGCGCGGCGGCTCCGCGATCCGGCCGGCGCGCGGGCTGCGGGCTGCCGGCTGCGGGGCAGGCTGGCGCGCTCCGGGACCCGCGGCGGCGCGGCGGGAGGAGGACCCAGGGGAGGAGGCGCGGGAGGTGGGGCGGAGGCGGAGGCTCCGGAGCCGCCCAGCGCGCGCCGCCAAGTTGGGCAAGTTCTGCCGCTGCCCCCTCTGGCGGGCGGCGGCTGCCCCGCAGGGCCCGGCCCTGCCCCCCAGCCCTCCCCGCGGCCAAGGTCAGCGCGGGGCGCGGGCCGCCGGGGTCCCCCGCGCGCGCCCTGCCCACCCCCGCCGTGCCGGCCGCGCCTCTTCCCCGGGAAACTCAAGTCCCCAATTTCCTCGGGAGGCGCCCGGCGGCCACGGCCAACGGATATGACGAGGCTCAGCTGCTACCAGGGGGGAAAGTTTCGGGAACCCTTAAAGGGGCAGCGAGGGCCTGGACTGGCCCCCTGGGCCCGCGCGCGGGAGGGCCCGCGGGTGTCCCCTGGGCCCGCAGGGGCGGGAGCTGTCGGGGGTGACTCGGGGGTCAACGAGGAGGGGAGGGAGCCCCCCAAAAGCCGCGAGCAGCACAGCGAGTCTCCGAGCCTGCGCCGCCCCTCGCCAAGAGCATCGTCGGCCTCTCTCCGCGTCGGGGTCTGGCGGCGCGCCGAGCCATTGCCGGGGCGCTGCCCCCCATTCCTGCCCGCCCCCCCTCCTCGTCCCCGCGGCGCCCCGAGTGATCAGCAGAGGTCTGCGTGGGGGCGGGGAGGGAGGCGAGGACGCGAGAGCGTTGGAGAATTTTCCCTAAAAATCCTGGGGGCAGCGGGGGGCTTGGGCGCAGCCTGCTGCCGGCCAGACCCTCGGTTCTCGGCGCGCCCCCTTCGTCCCCGCGGGCAGGTGGCGCGGCGGCCGGCTGTGAACCCGGGCTTCTCCCTGCCCTCGCCTGCCCGCTGCAGTGAGGAGCTGCTAGGAGCTGCTCGCTCACCTCCCTGGGGCCACTCAGTCCACCTGGCAAGTTGCTGTCACCATCCCAAATCAGGGCGCGGGGTCGCCTGCTACCGTGCGGCCTCCCTCCCCAGCCGGTCCTCCGACCATCTAATTAATACTTGTTTAGCCCCAGACACCCAGACGCAGAAACGCGATCAGTAACGCAAGCAATGGGGGTTATTTTTATTATATTTTAGGTATTAAGCGCAGGGGGGACAATTACACAAGCTAAAGTCCATCGATTTCCACTAGAACAAGGGATAGAAACATCTCTCTACCTCCTCCAGCTGAATTATGTTGGTTGTTTCAAAAAACAAACAAGCCCGTCTTCAAACAGTGGGGAGTGAAAGCCAGGCTTCCCTCCTCTCTGCAATTTCCAGCTACTTCAGCTCGAGATTTGATTTTTATTCCTGTGTTCCCAATTTTAGAATCACGTCTAGCTCTGCGAGGGACCCTTATGTCAGAGATCTTCAGCTATATTGATTTTTAGACGACTTTAACAATAAATCACATTTTCTCCAAACCATGTCTTCAAGTTTAACAAATCCTGAGCCACACAAAGAAAAGCCTCCTTGGGCCCCGTGATATAACCTAACTTGATATTCTCCATAAATCTGCATAGTTATTCCAGAGCTATTACATTCATATATTCACATTTTAAATTCAAGGTTGTAGAGGGAGTGTAATTTTTTTAAAAAATGATTATTTATACTCCTTGGTGTCCAGGCTTGGGGGTTCAAAAAGACATTCAGGGAGTTCTCAGAAGAATATAACCCTTGTGAAAAGCACATGAAATTTATTAAGGACATTGATATAGGGGCTGTGCGTTGTATAAATTCAATATTAGAGACGTTTGCTCTCTCTATTAGTTAAAAACCACAGGAGAAACTTTAAAAATATCAAGTCTAATTAAAGTTTGTGCTTGAAACTCCTGACTGCATCCAGGGTGAGTATTCCTGAGCTTTTCATGCTAAGAGGGAAGGTTTAGGTGTGCAGGTAAACGGACGCGTAAAGATGTAAACACAGTGGTGCCTGCGGTTCTAATGGATGACAGAGCTGCCTTGTCAGGAAATAATGCAAGACAAAGTGACAGCACTTGGTGAATGTCGTCTTGGCTGTCTGTCTCTATTTTTATGAATGGCCTTGGAGTTCTTGGTCCCTACTGGGGGCGGTGGTGCTGGCTGGATTTGGGAAACAGTAATTTGACCTTCCAGGTGTTTGAATTGAAATGGTACGTGGCAGCCCTCTCGTGGGAGAGCATCAGTTTCCCCTTATATCAACCTTGAAGCTCTTCCCCAAGAAAGAACCCGTTCCTGTAGCGCTGGTGAGCGAAGCAGAGCAGAGGGAGGAGAAAGTGAGCTCCCCACTGCCTGACAGCACCTGCCTGCCCTCCCTCACTGCGTGGTAGCTGCCTCCTCCTCCCCCACCTGCTCCCTTCTCCTTACAGCCTCTGTGGGCACCTTCGTTTTCAGCCACAGCCTCCCACGGGCCACCGAGGAAGACAAAAGCCCATCAATTACATGGCCCCTCACTCCTTGGAAAGAGCAAACCTCATCACTGAGCCTGTCCCCGGACAGTGGCAGGTGAGCAAGGATCTCACCTCCAGCCCCAGGGACCAACCAAGGATCCTTGCAGGACTACGCGGCTCTCAGCCAGAAAGAGTCTGCACCTGCACCTGCCCCCGATGCTCTTTGGCCGTCACTGCCAGCTCCATTCCTCTGACACCAGCCATTCTCAACCTTTCTGAGCTCAGGAGCCCTTTACACCCTTGAAGATTATGGAGGACCCCAAAGAGCCTTTGTTTATGTGGATCATAGCTATCAATATTTACCAAATTATGAATTAAAACTGAGAAATGTTGTCAGTATGTAGATAACATCTACAATCACAAATAACAATCACAAACTGATTACACAGCAACACAAACAACACTTTGAGGAAAACTCTATTTTTCAGAAAAATGAGTGAGCAGACTGACATTATTTTGCATTTGTGCCAAATCTCTTTTAATGCCTGGCTTAAAAGAAGACAGCTGGGCTGCCCTATCTGCTTCTGCAGTCTGTTGGGTCATTACACGTGCTGACGTCTCTGGAAAATTCTACCCAACACTCATGAAAGAATGAGAGTGAAAAAGACAAATAACATTTCAGTATTATCATGAAAATAGTTTTGAGCTGAGGGACCCCCTGAAAGGGTCAGACCTCCACTTTGTTAAGAAGTGCTGGTTTATGTTGTCTTTCATCTGTGTCTTAAGTCGTTTTCAATATATAACAAGTCCTGTGTCTCAGGCACTCTGTCAACAACGGGGAGGAAAAGGCCAAATCCGGTCTGATGCCTACTCTTCAGTGTGCAGGGCAGGTCAAGGGCAACATTCCTCTTTGTCTACCCGCACCTCCCTGGCTTTGCAAGAGGACACCAGCCACCTACGGCCGGCCAGAGGGATGCTATCGAATCATCCCTTCTTTCTTCTGAAGCTCCATTTTCTGCCTGCCTCCTGCATCCTTCTCAGCGACTTATAAAACACACGAAAGCTCCCACCTCTCTCTTCTTTTGTAAACCTTTTTAGATCTTAGCCCTTGGCAGATTACTGCCCCATACCTCCCACCCCCCCCCTTATGGCCATATCCCCCGAAAGTGCTGTCTACATTCCTTAACTCCCCTCCTTCACTCACTCCTCACCCTAAAAAACTCCACCCGCAAAATCACAGGTGAGATGGACATTTCTCGGTCTTTATTCCTATCCCCTGTGCAGCATTCCACACTGGTGCCTGTGCCGTTTCCTGACGTTCCTTAGAGTCGCCTGTGGGGTCTTGCCTGAGTCTCTTCCCCAGAGGTTCTTCCAGCTGGCTTGGGGCGGGCTCCTGAACTGCTGGCTTTTAAAGGTCCCCAAGTGAAACGGGAATTTGAGCATGTGGGAGAGATGAGGGGCGGGTGTCAGATTGAAGAGGTTGAATGACCTTGTGGTCCTGAATTGATTTGGAAATTTCATTGTGTATTCCTGAGGTCTTCTGTTACATATTTTTTTAAAAGCTATTTTTTTGTTGTGTCTACTGAAAAGCTCTAGAAACCATGAACGTCCCTAGTACTCAAATTACGGTTTTTATTATTTTGTAGAGACAGGGGTCTCACTGTGTTTCCCAGGTCGGTCTTGAACTCCTGAGCTCCAGCAGTCGTCCCACCTTGGCTTCCCAAAGTGCTGGGATTGCAGGTATGGGCCACCAGGCCTGGCCCTTTCAAATCAGGGTTTTCAACCCTTTGCACTCGGATTCGGGTGGATAATGTCGAGTGAAATGAGAAAAATGCAATCAGAAAATGCAAATGGTTAAATACCATATCCTACTCGGGAACAGGGCTTTTTGAAGCTGCGATTTCATATACTGACTAAGAATATCCTTAAATTCCCATCCACACGTCACGACAAGGATGTTACCTCAAGACTTCTGAGCCTGTCTAACTGGGCAAAACGGAGCAATTCAAACACCGTTGACAGTGACTGCAGTGGCTCAAAAAACACGCATTATCTCTGAATCCTATCATCAAAATGTTCTTTTAAAAGTACATCTGATCATATCGTGTGAAGAACTCTTAAGGAACCCAACTCATTATTTTTCAAGCTGGAAAGAAAGGAAAACCCAGCATTTTATTATCTGACTTTCCTGTATGAATGCCCAGTCATACAGGAAGTAATTGATAAGACAAGCTTCTCTTACTAGACAGTTGCAGCCCAATAAGATGAAAGGGGATGATAAATTAAGTCCACTTATCTTTAATGATATGACTCAGAGTTTTGCCTGCATTGGTGAGAGAGAGGCATGAGACAGAGACAGAAGCAGGCACACACTGCCCTGAATCTTGTGTCCTGATTGAAATCCAAAAGCTACCTATGAATGTCTCTTGCCCCAATAATCAACCTGAATTCAATCATCCTGTACATCACAGTGGAAAACCTCTCTTGGGCCAATCTGCCACTGTCGTCTTTGTATAAAGTTTATTAAGCACACGCATGTACACTCTGTAGATGCCTGTCAGCAGCTGAACATTCCACT